GAGAGCCGTAACCCACCACAGGAACTTTCCCAAGCTGTGTATTTCCTGAGCACTGGGGAAGTACTGTAAATCTAAACTCCCTTTATTTTATAAACTGGTTTATTTTAAGCTGGTTGCTTGACTCAGAAAGCAAGCTGGGTTAAGCCGGAGCCATCTGGACGGGGTTCTCTCTGCAGTGCTTGTTCCTCTCCATTAGACAGTGGATAATAAAAATGAAGGGACGGATGATTTGCAGAGCAGCCGGCGATGGGACTCTGTGGCAGGAGGGCTCATCCATCCGTGGCTACCTAGCAGGCAAGCAATCAACAAGCCCTCCCCTCCTCCGGGCGCTGACACCAAGAGGATGGGAGAGAATTGCCGAAGCAGCTGCAAGGCAGCCAAGCTTCCTGAGCCTAATGGAGCAGACCTTGTGCTCTCCAAGAAAGCCGGCAGGACCATGATCTGTGATAGGCAGCAATGTGCTCTGCCTACTGGAAGGCGAGACTGAGATCCAGAAAAAATGCATGAGGCAGGGCTGATACCAGAGCAGAACTGAACTAGATTTTAGTACAGTGGTGCCTCGCATAGCAACGTTAATCAGTGCAGCAAAAATCGCTGCAAAGCAATTTCATTGCTATGCGATTTAAGAAAGCCCATAGGAATGCATTGAAACCCCTTCAATGCGTTCCTATGGGCTTAAAACTGACCTTTAAGCGAAGATCCTCCATACGGCGGCCATTTTCGCTGCCCGGTAAGCGAGGAATCCATCCCTAAACACAGCAGGCGGACATTTTTTTTTACCTGGCGGCCCTTTTGGAACCACCGATCAGCTGTTGGAAAATCATCGCTATGGGATAATCGGTAAGCAAAACAGTGAACCGATCATCACAAAGCGATTTTTCCCCATAGGGAACATCGCAATGCAATCGCTTTTGCGATCACAAAATCTTCATCGCTATGCGGTTTTGTCATTAAACGGGACACCCATTAAAGGAGGCACCACTGTATAACCTTTAGCAGAGAAAACACAGGCCTCAGAGAAACTAGGCCCAGAAACATTCACACGTAGCTCAGGCAAAGAGAGGAACATTCACGCATGGTATGGAACATTGTTGTCACACACTTGTTTGGCCCATCCTCCTCCTTTTGACCTGGCAAATGGTCTGGTCCTCAAAGGCAGGCAGGAGGAAACCAGCCATGACAGGCCAAAACATGCACACCAGGGACCCGGAAAAGGAAGGAAATCTATCAGGGCCCAGGAATAAAACACATAAACATAACAAAAGATAAGATTATTTCCCCAGACATTTAGACACTTCCTGAGCATAAGCCAAGGACACAGGGGCACAAGGTCTGCGTATCTATAGACAGCCAATAGGTTAATTTAGTTGCCATCACTACCCAATGAGGGACTGGATCCAAAGTTGGGGTACAGTTGACCAACAGAATCATAGCATTTTATGGCTCTTTGACTGTATCATTATAAAAATGTATGTACTCTATATGTTCGGGGTCTTTCTCTGCTTTTAAGAGAAGTCCCAAGCTGACCTTTTTCTTTGCTGCTATTCAAATAAAATTGGGCCTTGGGTCCAACTGTTTGCGTCTTATGCCTGATTCCTCGCCAGAGAATCTTAGAACCCAGGTCTGGCCGGCAACAAGGCAGCTTGGCTTGCTTTCCTGCTGGAGACCTGCACCTCATGATGGCCCTTGAGATACCAAGCCAGTTTCAAGCCGGTAGGTTCGGCTCACAGGGCCCCCCTATACGGCTCAGGACCATGCTCTCAGAGGGACTGTCATCTCCCCAAAAAGGCCAGACTGCTCTTGCGGAGAGCAAGGGAGAGCTCAGGTTACTGCACGATCGTCTAATAAGGCTCGTTGGGTTAGGATGGGAAAGAGGGCCTTTTCTGTTGTGCAAATTGAGAGAAAGAGAGGCAAGCAAAGAAGGGAGCTGTGGAATTTGTCGGTGTCTTGAAACTTCTCCAAGGCATCTGTTAAACTGGAAAGAGTCCTGCTTCCCCCTTCCCCCAAGGGGTTTCTGCAAACGTGGGAGCAAGACAAAGGCAACTCAAAGAGATACAGAAGTAAGAAATATTTCATCAAAACCATCGAAACCTACCTGCAATGCATGGGTGCTGTTCTAACGTAAATAAATGGGAGAGGATCAAGTGAGTGTCAGAAGGTCTGGTGTTCTTGTTCCTCATACTTTTTTTAATGAATAAGCTTAATCCATATATTTTAATATGAAAAAGGACTCAACATTTCTGGGCTTAGAGCACTGAGAAAAACGGGAGAAAGACCTACCTGCCAAGAATAGCAACCAACCCGTGCGGTTTCATACATGCGTCTGGTTGAGGTTCTGCAGGCTTAAGGCTGCCCGTTGCTTGGCACGCCGGCTGCCATGAGATACACACCGTACCGGAAATATCAGAAGGAAAACAGTGGCGACACCTTGAGAACTAGCTAGATAAGGGCCAATCCTTCCATAAATCAGAACGTCCTTCCAACGGACATTGTCCACTTTGATTACCTTTGATAAGAACGCAGGGGGGAAAAAAGGAAACGAGCTTCTTGGAACAAGCCCACCACATGTACATCATGTTTTTGAATGCTGAAAGCATACATGCATGTATGCATGCACACATTATCTTGCCGTAAGTCTTAGAGCAGCGTTAGGAGGACAGGATTGTTCTCAAAACAGCACCCTATCTGCTCCTGGCTTTTCATCGAATCATAGAATAATGGAGTTGGAAAGGTGCCTGTAAGGCCATTGAGTCCAACCCCTTTGCTCAAGGCAGGAATCCAAATCAAAGCAGATCTGACAGAGGGTTGCTTAATTTTACTTTGAATGCCTCCAGCATTGGAGTGCTCAGCCCCTTCCAAGGTCATTGGTTCCATTGTCCTACTGCTCTAACGGTTAGGAAGGTTTTCCTTATATTCAACTGAGATCTGGCTTCCTGTTGCTTGAGCCTATTCTTACGTGCCCTGCACTCTGCGATGATTGAGAACAGATCCTGCCCCTCCTTTGTAGGACAGCCTTCCAAGTCTTTGAAAAGTGCTATCCTCTCTCCCCTCCGTCTTTTCTCACGGCTAAACATGCCCAGTTCTTTCCTCCTAGGGTTTGGTTTTCCAGTCCCCTGATCACCCTTGTTGCCCTCCTCTGAGGTTGCTCCAGTTTGTTGGCATCCTCCTTCAAGTACGGTGTCCAGAACTGAACAGAGTCCTCTAGATGAATAGAGGGGGAACAGGACCTCATGGGAATTGGAGGCTGTACTTCTGTCCCTGCATCCTAAAACTGCATTTGCCTTTTTTGCAGCCACATTGCACTGTTAGCTCAAAAGCTTTTGATCTACAACCATTTTAAAGAGTTCTTATGTCTTCCTGACCTTCAGAGCGCCTCTTAAGCATTTCTTGTGGTTAGAGATCCTTTGTTACTCGGTACACACAGGTGCCCACTCAGCCTGGGACACTCCAGAGCTCTCTTCCCCCACTTGCTGCACTTCAACTATCTCTGGACTTTCTCTCTCAGTGTTCTGGACTACTGGTTATGGTGGCTAGGGCTGATGGGGGTTGTAGTACAAAACCTCTGGAAGGCAAGAGGTGGAGGAAGGTTGCCTCGGAAGGCAAATCAACTTAACACAGCGAGTTCGGGTGATCTCCCTCAGAGTCTACTCTCGTATACCTGCCACTGAGGTTGTGCATCTATAAGGGATAATATCAGTATCCTATTTCCCAACCTTTTTTTCCAGGGGATAGTTTCTCCTTGACCCCTCAAGACAACATGTCCACTGCTATTCTTACGGCAATACAGAATGCAGCTGCGCAAGTCTCCCAAACGGTACGCCATGCCCCCAGTCCTACCAGCTATGAACTCTTGATGCTGACTATCAAATTCTGCAATGGTTTTCAATCTCCCACGTGCTCACCCAGTTTTCTTCTCACAAAGCTTAACCTTTAATCTGAATTTTGTTTGCCTTTTGGGAAGGTTGTGTATCCCTCCTTCCCACTCCTAGAGCGATCCTCAGCTCATGTAATAGGTAGGATGGCTAACAGCAACACCGCAGTCTCTCCCACCATCAAGCACTGCAGGAAGGCTGCTTGGCACCTAGCACACAGAAGCATCTTCCACTGTCCTTACTAGACCAGTGCCTGTAAGGTTCTCTATATAAAGAAGGGACAGAATATGCCTGGGGATGTTTTGATGTTTGGGTAAAAGGCTGCAGCATTAAATAGGGCTGTAATACAAACCAGAAGGGGTCAGCCATGGGTCATCATAGCAACAGAGTTATCCACAGTCCTTGCTCCTGCTAAGGAACACTGCCAAATCTTCTGAAGAATTGGTATTCTCGATATATCTAAACATTTCCGCCTTTCCATCACCCTGAGCCACCAGAAGGTCTCACTTAAACATCTCTGCCCTTATTGCCAGCTGATGCCACGAGTATTTTCTCTCTCTCACTGGCCTTCTTAAAATCCACCCTCAGTTTCCACCCCTTCTGTGAAGTTTGGGTACAGGAGATCTGGATGCTGGCCTCACATCTGCCATGGCCTTCCTAGTGATTCCGCATCTGGGACATGCCAGATGTGTTCACATATTCTGTCTTTTTTGCATAATTTATTCTGTACTTTGTACCATACTGTTTCATTTATTCTATTTTTCTGAGGCATGGCATGGGAGAAAGAGTGAACTGGGGGACTCAAATTCCATCCCTAGGAACTGGAGATCGTATTCCGCTACCACTCTAACTCTGAAAATTTCTATGGGTGTTGTCTGTAGCTTTACAACTAAAGGAAAAAAAAGGGGGCTAGAAGCCTCCTTTGCTTTTCAAGAAAGATTGAAGGGGGTGCCTCTCCTGAATTCTATACCTCTTCGTTTCACATTCTGGCTCTGACACAATCAAGGCACAAGAAAGAAGTCCCTGAGCATCACTTTCAACCTGACTGGAGGGCTTAATTCTCCAGGACTTTGTCATTCTAAATCAGCATTTAAAAAACAAAACAAAAGGCGAGGGCAATCTCCTGTGTCTAATCTGGAAGGTTTTATTTCATCGGAATATTTCTACAAATCTTTGTAGGAGAAAGAAGGGTGGAAGAAAACGCTTTGGTTCCAGCTTTGGATCTGTTTGCCCAGACTTACGTTGGGTAGGCAGCCCTGTGATGGGCAGGCGTTACCGGTGTCTGGAGAGGCTCATCTACGCTCTGGTGAACGCTGGGAACCGGCTTCTTTTTGGCTCTTGGGGTATTGGTCATGATCTGAGATAAGGAAAGGAAAACAACAGTTTCAAAATGAAACACAAAACACATAACACATCTGGCGTTCCCCATCACCCTTGGGGTTTTTCTTTCCCCTTTTTTAATGTCATGATTGTCCTGGGGTATGACTTTTCCCTTTCCCAAACACATATACTAAAATTCTACAAACACACCCCCGTAGTTCCTTAAAATGGTTTACTTTCAATATTCCTTTTCGAATTTTCGCACGTTAATTTATTGTCGATAGCCATACACCACATTTCTTTTAAGTTCTGTTGTAGATTCTTTTTTGGCCTTAGGGTTTGTTGTATTATGCTTTGTTATTAAAATAAAGACAATCTCTTTTTCAAAAAAGGGAAGGAACAGTTTGAAGAAAGCAGGGAACCCTCAGAAAGGCAATGGGGGGAGCGCTCAGCAGTTTTGCTTATAGTTTCCCACAGGGCGTAGATGGGGGGGCAGCGGAGAGAAAAAGTGGCCCCATCCTGCCCCCCAGGGTATGCATGGCTCACTCAACTCCAAGGGAGCAGCTCAGAGCTCAGAGTACAGCAAGAGCAATTACGACATGGACAGGAAGGAGCATAATAAAGGATCACTTGGCAGTACCTGCTGGGAAAACATGGATTCCAAACCAGCAAATGCAGGTTTGTGTGTGTGTTTGTGTGTGTGGGGGGGGTCACTTCCCTCTTCTGCCCAGAACACCCCAGGTGGATAGATTACGACATGGGCAACCCATAAGCTTTGGAGGTGTGGGGCACAATCCGGTTTTACTTTCCATGGAGGAAGGTTTGACAGCCACAAAAAAGGATTAGCTGTCCTGTTTCAAAACCTGGCTATTTACGTAGATCACATGTCGCCGCTGGGGTTTCTGATCCTGCCTGCCCTGCCTGTTGCTTGGCCATCAGTTGGGGGGCACTGGGGTCCTTTAGCTGAGCCTCCTTAGGAAGCCACGCAGGGGCTTCTTCCCTTTAAAGAGGTCCAAACCTTTAGGACCATGGGGTTAGGTCCCTAAGGCTGCTCTCTGTTTGTCCGGCTCTCCATCCCATTCACTGGCAACGAACCTGGATTTTGCTGCCAAAAGATTGGCGAGGGTGGCTTGACTATCAGTGGCTTGGAACGGCAAACATAAAATTATACCCCATTAACATCATGTTGAGATTGTGCCTCACCCTCCTGCTTTACAAGAGGCAGGAAGTCAGCCGCCACCCAAACCAAACACAATAAATCAGGAAAACAAGAGTTTTCAAAAAAACCCAGTTGAGTGCTGGGCACAACATCCGATTTGCCAAGAGCGACAGGAGTCTCAAAGGCTGGCTGTTGGCTCCTTTACGACACGCTAGGCTGGTCTTGCCATTAGCTGGGCAGACTTGAGAGTGGCCTGGCCGCTATTCCCTGGCAAGGCAAGGAGGTCAGAGGGCTGGAGCTCAAAGGCTGAACGTCTTGGCTCGTGGGAACAGATGCATCGGGACTCCAAGACAAGCAGACGGGTGGTGACCCACCGAGAAAGGGGCCAGGCCAGGGCTGGAGATGGCCCGGCGGCGGTAGCGCAGGTGGCTTAGGCTGAGCTCAGGATCGCCAGAGCTTGCATTCCTCTGCGTTAGGGTTTTCAATGCTGCTCTTGTAACGTGCTCCTCTTTACCGAGGCATTAACCCCTTCTTTCAAAAAACGAACTGGTACCTCCACCAAAGCTGTCAGCCAGGAGAAACGATGGACCCGGGATGTAAAAACTGGAGTATGTACTTTATTTCAAAATGAAAGCCTGATGCATTTCGGCTTAGTCTTTTCAGCATTCTTCTAGGGCTGCATCACATAAAATAGAACTGGGGATTGGGGGGCGGGGGAAGAATGATAACTATATGGAATGTTAAAAACCTTGTCTCTAGGAGAAAATGTTGTGATAAATATGTTTTTTCTGTCCTATTTTATGTGATGTTGCCCTTGAAGAAGGCTGAAAAGGCTGAGCTGAAACATGTTGGGCTTTTATTTGGAAATAAAGTGCCTCCTATCATTTTCACATCCTGGTGCCATCATCTCTTCTGGCCTACCATCATCCCCATTCTGCCCATGTCTTGCTCCCAGGCCCGAGGTCAGGCATTTCCTATGAAGTTACCCTGTGCCCTCATCACGCCCTGGGTTTTCATCCTTCTGCTGCATTTCGCCACTTTCAGATGAAATACCGGGAGTGTTTCGCTTGTTGCTGCCAGCAGTGGGAGTGGGCATCGTGACCGGCTTCAAACAGGGAGTCTTTGCCAGAGTGTGACAGTGGATTCTGGGAATTGCAGTCCAAAAAAGTAACTTTCCTGTGCTCTGGGGTCTTTACAGCCAGAGCTAGCCTTCTCCTCAGGTAACTCTGCAGATTCCTCACCTCTGCTGCTTTCCCTGACCGGACGTTCCACTCTTTCTGGGGTGATGGATAAGTAGAGCTTCCCAGTGCAGTGCCAGTTTACCTCTGAGAGCTGCCAAAAAAAGAGCAAAGCATGCTGCTTATATACCGCCCCATAGCACTTCAAGCACTCACTGGGCGGTTTACAAGTCAATGACACAGGCTGCACACATTCCCCCACCCCACCCCACGAGCTGGGTACTCATTTTACTGACCTCAGAAGGATAGAAGGCTGAGTCAACCTTGAGCCGGCTACCTGGGATTGAACCCCAGATCCTGAACACAGTTTTGGCTGCAGGACAGCTGTTTCACCATGGCGCCACGAGGCTTGTCGTGCATGGTGGGCAGAAATAAAAAGAACTTCAAGCCCGTCTGTAGGCTTTTGGAGACATTTAGCTGTCTACGGAGGAGCCTCATGGCACAGCGGTTAAACTACAGTACTGCAGAGAAGACTCTGCTCACGGCCTGAGTTCAATCCCAGTGTACTCAGGTGGCCAGCTCGAGGTTGAACTTACCCTTCCGTTCTTCTGAGGTCAGCAAACTGAGTATCCAATTTGCGGGGTAATGTGTAGTCTGCATAATTAAACTGTAAACCACCCAGAGAGAGCTTCAAGCACTATGCATGGGACAGTATATAAAAGCAGCACATTTTGCTTTTGCTTTAAAAAGGGGAGCTCTGAGCTAGATGGACTTAAGACTCTGATCTAAAAGTATGCTTCTTCATGTCTCAACCACTTTTGTGGATTCTTACTCTCTGTGGAGAACAGAGTTGAGAATTTGATCCCATTGAATGGCAAAACCCCAGGCATCGTTCTGCAAAGACCATTTGTTTTGTTCAGTGCATGGAACAGTCATTTATTTAGTTCTTACTATTTTAAGTCACATTTCCATCCTGGGTCCCCCCGCCCCACTGAGCTCAAGGTTCCCCTTCACATGCCTGTTGTCCTCACAATTCTGTGAAGTAGATCAGGCCAAGACGGCAGGAGTGGTCGAACATCAATCGCCCAGTGAGTTCCAGATCCAAGGTTCCAGCCAAACCACACCGACCTTCTCTCTTCTGAACTGCAACCACCAACGCCCAGCACTCCAGCCACCATGGCCAACCTCTGTTTTGTTTTTTATTTTCTTCTCCAGGCCCTGCTTTTGCCGTTGAGCATCAGGTCGCTCGGACTACTGCTGTTGAGCTGCGGTTCTGGGATGGCGACCTGAAATCCAAATCGCGCCGCCTGCTGAACAGCCCTCCGGGCCGGTACTTACACCCAGGTATTCCGTGGTCAAGAGCCTCTCGCCCGACAGCTCCCCCGGTTGAGGCTGCAAGACT